CACTGAGCTTATCTGTACTATATATGCAGTATGCATATCTCAGATAATTGAAAAAACAAAGCGTGTCGCTTCTCCCTGGAGGTAACTGTCACACAGACGTCCATACCCAGAAGCAGTGGACCTCCTCTTAGGAGGATGCTTGTCACTACAGTCTGTTCAGATTGTAATAGCTGTCGTCACTTCCAGATGACCCTCTTCGCAGCTGTTCCCGACTGCCCTTGCTGGAAGTCTGTCATTCGCATTCGGATCAAAGAGGCACATATGCCCTGCAACCACGTCGCGGTAAGTCAATGGGAAGGCAGCGCGTGGGGAAATACGGACGGTTCAGACTGTCCTCCCCCCTCCTGCCCTGTTCCAGCGTGACTCACGACCCCCAGTACGCAGTACACATGACACCCACGCAGGAGCCACCCTGCCCGCTCACACCGTCGCGACGGAGCCCAACTTTTAACGTCCGTCCGATGACGACATGGCTCACAATTCCGAACCCGACGGAGATGACGCTAGCGCCACGGAGCCTGACGCGGCGCCCCAAGGCGGCGACACTCCCTCCCTCTTTTAGCTGCCCTCCTGGTAGATCCAGCTGGAAGCATCGATAACGCCCTCGACTCTGGCGCCGACGGAACTACCTGCCCGCCAAGGGCAGGACCAACCACTCCTATATGGAAGCCGCACCCTCCAGCGGGTTCGAAAGAAGCTAGAGATTTTCTCCAGCCTCTCCCACCGGCCCGACACGAGAAAGCGAGCTAATACCACCGGCACACCGGCCGGACAAGCCAGCCGTGACGGAGCGCAACACCAATCCGCGACACGGGACCAGCTCACTAACCAGACCGGGGTTCCATCCCAACTGCACGAGCGAGGAGAACGGCCTCCGCCCAAGCAAGCCAAGGAAATCGTCCCTTCTCCCCCCCGAAACACAGTTGGAATCCGCGGGCGTACTTTTTGCATATGATTCATAAAAGAGAAAGGAACTTTCGAAGAATCATAATTTTGGAATAATGCTTGGAAGAATAATTTGAGCTGATGGTATAAGATGGAAACAATCCTGTCAGACAGCGAAATGGGTAGGACAGGAATCCCTTTAGAATTATCCGTGTTGTGACGTATACTCGTATTATAATGAGGCCATACTAAGCATAACACATACAGTGTGGGACTATGGCGTGTGGATTAAGAGAACACTGAAAAATAAATTTGAATTACTGGGTTTTCGGACTTTCTCCATCATCCGGTATTCTAAAATCTAGAGAACACAGCGTTTCGGAAACTGGATGTTTCCGTCCTCAGGTGAGGACCTGCTTTGTTGGGTCACCTAGAAAGAGCTAACCTCGATCACTGAACAACCCCTATCAGTGTAACTACAGCTATATAAACACCTGAGACCAGGATTTATTTTACAATCCTGTTTACCGTCCACCATGCAACAATATCAAGATAACAATTCGTCACTGCTCTGTATGTTTCGGAGTACTCGGCCATTATCACGTGAACTGAAATTAGGGGGAACTTCAGTGCCTTCCGGGCTACTGCGATCCGCGTCTTTCATACTTATAAAAACATCCGTGGTTTTAGCCCGCAAGTGAACTATATTTATAATGTTTTAAATTAAGTCAATATACTCGTAATTCCTCTGCCTATGTCATATGTTTGTCTTTCCTGGCATGCCTGTTGCTTGTCAAGTGTGCAGTGTGGAAAATTTCCCAAGGAAGGTTTATTAAAAATGTATAATACTGTGACACGCAATTATAGAATGTCACATTGTTCGTAATTAAAGTGAATGCAATTTAAAATTTGAAAAAAAAACATAATAAAAAATGTTAATTTTAATTAATAATTTTCTTCATTATCCTAAGATAGTTTGAAAGATCATTGCCAGCGGTAACTGCCAGTTTTAAGATATTATCTGTCTGTCTGGACTAAAGAATAATAGAACCTACGGAATACGAGTCATGAATGTATAAAATTGCATTGTGACTTTCTGCCAGGGGATAAGGCAGCTGGGGCTTGAAGCTTACCACTCCATTTCAACTATTGCCGAGGTTAAGAAAACGTGGATCTATATATCCACTCCCCACATACATCTTCATGGCGTAGTGCTTAATTAGTTAAGCACATGAACAACTTTACCTTTGCATGTCAGTACAGTTCTAAAGGTTTCGTCACGTAGTTCTGAGGTTAAGGATGCCTGAAACGATATACGCCCCCCATACGTCTTCACGACCAGGGCGTAATTAAGTAAGACAGGGAAAAGATTGCCATTTTTACCTTTGCGATATATACATGACCAAACATTAATGCAATCCTCGTATAAACATATCTCAAAATTAACCCGTATCGTGTTACATTGAGGACAATAGAATCACTGAGTAATTTGCCGCGAGGATTAAAGAAAATTACCGCTAGAAACTGCGTTACAGACGCTCCGTTATTAATAATAATAGTAACGGCAACAAGATCATTCTTCGTCCACTGAAAAAAAAAAAAAAGATAAAATTAGGTAGAACCTAAGATTGCGCAGAAGGAAGACAAACACACAGCAGGTAAAGCAAGTGTCACGTAACTTCGAACAAGGCCAAGAGTAAGCTTGAATGCGCAGACGAAAAATTTCAGATAAGGGGGTGGGTTCGAGGGTGTGAGAAGTGACAGGCGGCCAGTTGTACAAACAACACACCAATTTATTATTAATTCGTTTAGAAGTGGACGCTGATCCCGACGTTTGTATTAAGTGTGCAACCTAGTCTGTGAAGTGGTCCTGTAAACGTAACCGTGCAATTGTGTTTCTTCCTGACGGCTCGCAACGGTACGATAGCAAGAGCCAACCTCAGCTGCCCCCCCTCCCCCATTTTCATAAAAGAAAATTTCAGTGTGTTACTTTGAAATAGGTCACAACTGCTTCTTCCTGACGCACTTTCATTTGGCTGAAATTGATCTTTGTCCAAACAGATAACGTTTGGCAGTAAAATCCTAAACCTCGTATACAACCACATATCTATAGATGCTAAATCCAGTGTTTCCCAGAATGATAATGTAGACTTGAAGATTACAGCATCTGAATTACTACATAGAGTCTAGACGTTACATATATACATTCGCAAATAGGGCGTATATATTGTATATATACATGTAAATACATATCAAGGCCGATTAATAGGAAAACTGTTTAATGTAGGTACACTCATTAATATCTATACTTCTTCTTCTGTGGCACTAAATCCCCAATTTGGGCCTAGGCCTACCTCCATGAAACTCTCTGTTTCACTTCGGTTTACTAGATCTTACGCATTCGGTAGGACTCCTTGGGCGAGTGATGAGCTCGTCGCAAGGCCTCTACCTGTAGACAAACACAGAAAAACGCACACAAACATCCATGCCCTGAGTGGGATTCGAACCCACGATCCCGGCTTCCGAGCGAGCGAAGACAGTGCATGCCTTAGACCGCTCGGCTACCGTGACCGGCAATATCTATACTGCCACAGTCAATAAGTTCGTGGAATGGCCGCAAAGCGTCGTACAGGAATTTCCTGCCAGTATGTTTCGGCAGTGTTTTCGACAGCTATATCAACGTTGGCAGACTTGCATAGCGGCCAACGGCAACTGTTTTGAGGGCCCATGCGGATCTGCGTAAGTGTATGTGAATACTTTGTAATATGATGCGATAAAACCACAGTCCACGAACTTAATGACTCTACCACGTATATACGTGTATATTGGTTTACACCGGCGACACAACAGATCAACCATAAACTCTACGCTGTTTGGTAAATCTGTTATGTCGACGGTGAAAACCAATATACGTAATATATGTAGACAGTGATAACACAAGAGGACGCACTCCTTGAAGAGAGTACTCATTAATGTTCTCATTAATATTCCAGCCCTTTGCTTTCGTGTAATGAGTGGCCAACAGTGGGCTACCAAATACAAATCTATTTCGATTCCGCAGTGATGTATGCACGGTCAGTCGCATGTCAGAAACTTGCTTTAGTGGTCGGACCCATTGCGTTCCTGTTCGCTTGAGTCAGTCGCACATGAAGAAGTTACGCGCCAGTATTTTTATTTCTCAGCAGATGTCGAACGGTAAGATTGAACAAGAAGACTTATCTTGTGTACATAAGGAACATTATTTCACATATGTTTTATGTTATGTGGGGTGGCGTGGAGCAATTGCGCCGTTTCTCTTCTGGAGGAGTGTATTGTGACTAAAGTTTTCGTCTGACAGGTGAAATGAGCCAACATTCGTCAGCCTCTGTGTGCGAGCTTGCGCATGCGTCCAGATATCGAACCGAGAATCACGGTGTGATGGCTAACACTCCGGTTTCTTTAAGTTGCTTATTTAACGACGCTGCCTGTATCGAGGCTATATAGCGTCGATGATAGGATGATTTTTGAGTCTGGAGCACATTGCAGAATGACAAACGGAGGAGTAAACCGAAGTACTCGCTCCATTCCTCATGGCCTGACTTGGTATCGAACTCGAGCCACCGCGGTGGGAAGCTGGCGTCTAACCGCCTGATCACAACCACTCTTATTCGAAAGGTCCCAAGTTCTGATCTCGTCCTGATGACAGATTGTCCTTCCTCAGGATTGTTTTGTTTTGTCAGTCTGCCCAGGCCAGTACTGGCAGTAAAAGGCAAAGTTGCCCCTGTACCTAACTAATTAAGCACTGCGCCATGGAGACGTATGGGGGAATGGATGTAAAGGTCCACAGTTTCTTTACCTTGACATTAATTGGAGGTGAGTGGTTAGCTTCACACCCAGGCCGTTTCCCCCACCCCCCTGAAAGAGCCCCCGGTACCCATTCGATAGGAGGCTGATGCGCAGCAGAGCCGGTCTGGACTACGTGGACAAGGGGAAATTGTTGACCCTACCGGGGCTATACCGACTGCGCTATTCCTGCTCCTCCGGTGCTCTCAGTTCCTTATAATAATCCAAGATGCCCTTTCCAGTTCATCCCTGACGCTCGCTGATCGCACTGACTGGGGACCCGTCTGTTGCAGGACCAGCACGCCAGTACTGACATCAATGACAATGATGATGACCCCATGCCGCGCGACAACGGGGACAACAAGCACGGAACCCGATGTGCAGGCGAGGTGGCAGCCGTCGCTTTCAACAGTTACTGCGGCGTCGGAGTCGCCTACAATGCCAGTATAGGAGGTAAGGCTCGCCACACGTGTCTCTCCATCTTCATATCAGATAACGTGTTGGACACTGTAATTCATGTGAGTGTGTTCATTTGCATAGGGCTCTACATAACATCTCGTCCTTCTAGACGACAGTTAAAGGGTTGATAAACGGTGAGCCCCGAAATTTCGATATTGTCTTCAATCATTTGTCTAATCTGCTCTCTCACAACAAGGCGAATAGCGAATGAGATGGCCCTGGAAAAACCCACTATTCACATCTTCGACAACCTACAGACTTGCCTCCCGTGGTGGCCTTGTCCCCTTCGGTTCATCCCAACTGCATGTAAACAAAAACAGGGCAGTTGTTTCCTGTCCAGATACGAAAAACAAGTCATTACATGCTAATAAATCGGTCTCGCCAATAAACCAGTCACCCTTCCGAAATGGCTAAAGAGGGCCATAGCGTCCACGGAGAACTGTAACAGGTTTGGGCTGCCACATTGTCTCGTGTCCGTGGCAGTGACTAATGTTAAAGGGTTCTGGAATGGATGCTGAGATTTATTGATACCTTCTTTTAGAATTCTCTTCTTCTGTGACTGACTTGCTTCTGATTTACGAATCACTCCTCACGCACGACCGAATCCTCGTATACGACATAATGCGTTCTCAGTCTGAGTCTTATGTTACGACCGACGGTCAGTCTGCCAGTCTGTCCTGACATAAAGCACCCATCTGGGTCTTACGACCAGATTTCTATTACTGTCAGACAGTTGCGGGTGTGTTGATATGCGGCGCTCTCTCTGACGAGAGGAAGGGTCTGTCGTTTACAAGTAATGCTGGTTCCTCGCCAGCGCAGTCATTCTCGGGTCCGAGTCCCATTTTACTGTCTCAGATTCGAGACTTCCCTTTTCGTGGCCTCCTACGACTCGCAGGGCTACGGTCGAGGTATTCGACCCCGCCTCCACATGGGGTCAGAATGCGTTCTTATCTGAACGGCTACTTTATATAGTCTAGCGGTATCCATGGAAACTGTTTGTTGCTTATTCGTATACACGGAAACCTTTGTACCTGAGTTGGTCTCTAGGAATCCACCTCCATGGACACGTTTAACACGTAGCGACGGTTTGTGTCCAAGAATCGTATCTCCGTTGCAACGTGTGTACCAGTGCGTTTCCTAGCAACGCCCACATATCACAATATCTTGAACAAGAAATCGTGTGAAATGTGGCGAGTATGTTGAACCTGTAACGTTAGACCGTAGAAAAAAAAAAGCATATCAAACATGTGAATTTAGCTGTTGACGGTCTCGTATTCGGAAGTTGGCCGGCGCGTTGCACCTGTCTTGCAGGCGATTTGTACAGACTCAAACGAAATCGCAGCCAACTGAATGTCACACGGCAGATCCATCCTGCTTGTTTGAACCAAGAAATGTACGGGAGTACATTGACCCTGATCTAGGCTAAAGTAAAGGCGCGTCCACATTACTCGTGCTCGTCGGGAGACCCGTCTGGCTTTTACTTGTGCCCGTAAATCTTCGTCCACACTACTTCAGTTGCTCGCCAGGCTTCGGCGCGTGAGGATCCGTATATTTACTCGTAGTGTGTATAGGCTGTAGTCGTATTTTAATTTATTGGCTATAGTTTTTAAATTAAAAATTAAAAATTTGCTTGTCTCGTGACTTGTCATATCGTCCACATTACTCGCGAGCATAGCGAGTCACATTAGCACGAGTAATGTGGACGCTCCTTATACCGAGTGCGCAGTGCGGCTGTTTGCAGTGTCTTCACGTATCCCACGGGATACTTTTGCTTAGAGTGAAACGCAATTTGCATTCCTGATAAAAAAAAAATGTAGCAAGATGAAGTAAACATCATATTTTAAAAATTCTGACCGCAGTTTTATTAAAGAAAAACGTAAGATGAATCTTAAAGAGCCGGGTTAGCTCAGTTGATATAGCGACGGTCTACGGACTGGACGGCCAGGGTTCGATTCCCGGCAGGAAACAACATATTTTTCTCTACTCCACAGCGTCCAGACCGGCTCTGGGGTTCACGCAGCCCCATTTTAAATGGTTACCGGGGTCTCTTTCCCCGGGAGTAAAGCAGCTGGGGGTGGAGATGGCCACTCACCTCCACCTATTGCCAAGGTCAAGCTGTACCTCCACTCTCCCATACGTCTTGACGGCGTGGTGCTTAATTAATCAAGCATAGGAACAACCTTACCGTTACCTTACTTTTATATGAGACGTTCGGAATACGAATCTCAGCCAATTCGATCTTTGCCTGTTTGTAACCCTTCTCCGGTCCTCTGTATAGCTTAAGTGCATATTAGTAATATGAGCCACGGTCATATTTCACCAGATTTTGAATTAATCGCAGCAACTAATTCCATGAAGAAATCCCCTTCGTGGGACCCGAAGCTGTATTGCCTTATCTCGAGCCAGATGAATCCACTCCACATACTTTCATCCTATTTCAGATCTACAACAGTTAATACACGTATTAAAAGAACACGCGATAGCGTAATTGGTTGAGGCACTATGCTACAAGCCGGAAGGTAGCGGGTTCAGGTACCGATGAGGTCACTGGATTTTTTTCAATTGACCTAATCCTTCCAGCCGCACTATGGCCCTGGGGTCGACTCAGCCTCTAACAGAAATGAGTACCAGGAATTAATTAAATAATTTTCCTGTGGAGTAAAGCGCGGCCGAGGCGTAAGGCTGACAACCTCACCACCATCATTGAGCCGATTTTCTAGATAATGTGGGACCCTCAACGTCTCACAACCCTATGGGCCTTCACGGCCTGTTACAGGGATAGCTTTACTTTTTTTTATTAAAAGAAATATGTTGTGGAACTGTTGTGATGATGTCATTACTTACTGGAGAGCGTGCTTGTGTATCGCACTGTGTTTACCCAACTGGATACTGTTTTGCATTCTCTTAATTAATTAGTTTATCTCTTGTTCCCCCCCTATTAACTTTACATCAATTCACTTTTAGTAAGTAAATAGCTCTTTATGTAATTGGCATGACAAGGTCGCATCCACGGGTGCGTGAATGCTTTGCAGCGCACAGCTGTTTAATCAGTAATGAATCTCTCTGTTAATTGGTATTTATTTTCAATTTCCAAAGCAGATGCTCTCATTACCTGATTATTCAGATGATATTTAACCTTACAAGTGCCATATATCGGAAATTTCGACCTATACAAAAATTGCTTTATATGCCTGTTGGCATTTTATATAATTGCGTAGTGAAAAAAAAAATCATATGGAAAGGATTTTCCCCGTACGTTTGAAGTTCTTAGGGCCTTGTACGAGTATATATTATTTACTAACGCAAGAAGAACAGCCTGAAGGCTGGACACTACAGGAATTCTTTGCAGAGAGAAAGAGTTTGACAAAGGCCTACGTCACTACCCTTCTGTCTGTCCGTCCTTACATAATCCTTTCTCTGGTTGAACTATGGTATTCACTCTTATAAAATATTTGTTGAAAGATATTCGTTCAGTCATTTTTGAGAAACTGAAGACTAGAGTTACAGTAAGACAATGTAATATTGTCCCTGCACAACGACATGAAGACGTATGGGGGAGTGGAGATGTAACTCTACACATTCGTAAAATCGGTATTAGATGCAGGTAAGCGATCAGTTTTTCGCTTCGACCCTTTGGATGGACTAATAGCTTGAAGAAACGGGGGCGGTGGGCGAAGTCCAAAATTCCAGCCAGAAAGATTGTTATAAAGCATTGCAAGAAACTTTCGTGTCCTTTCTCTTGCAGTAAGAGGCTGTCTTGCTGTGCTGTAGTTCTGCCTTTACGTATGTTTGTGATGTATGTTTTATTTATTCCACTTTATGGTTTGTTTAGTGACGCTGTCGGTGGCGCAGACTATATAGCCAAAAGAATGAATACACACTTCAACGTACAAAATATCTACTTACATAATTTATTGGTATATCCTCGCTTAAACTCTGAAAATGTGCGTAGGTACAACCCACTTTAATAGAGGTTACTTACAGACATTTTCAGAGTTGAACCGAAGATATACCAATAAATTATGTAAGCAGATGTTTTGTACGTTGAAGTTCGTATTCATTTTTTGGACACCTCTGTAGTGAGATGATGAACTCCGAATTCTAAAGGGCGTGGCAGGATGCGAACGTGGCCTATTTCAACGTACTGTCGCACTACTCGACAGGAGGAAAACCACGATGAACCTCCGGATAATTAGTGGCCCGATCGACAATAAACCGAATACATGTAAGAAAATTTGGCGCCTGTGCAACGTTGGTCGGTGTTACATGTGTTAGAAAGTAGTTGCCAGAAGTTGGCAGCAGTGGAAGACACGCTAGAGTGCGTATTGTACTAGTGCCCACCTTTGCCAACAGAAATGCTTTAAATACCTACATCTCGTAGTGCCAGTCGCTATGCTTTCAAATTTAGTTTCATCATGTACACATAGCTGTAGAAGCTATTGGGGCTGGGTATTTTAACGATGTTTCTTTTTAACAATTTTACTTTGGAACTTTACCGGGTTTTATGCTACTTTCATACTGGAGAAATAGATTCTCTCTAGGAACTCGCTGACTAAAGAACAAGAGAACTGTTACAGACAAAGAGAACAGTTCTGCTATTTGACAGGACTGCTCATGGGCCATTGTCACTGGAAATTACACCTATTAAAAGCGGGGCCAGTCAATAGTCCCACCTACCAAAGATGCCATTGCAAGATTAAACAGCTTCACACTTCCTGTGTGACTGTAACTTTCTATATGAATTCATATTTTGTCAACTGGTGCTCCTGGCCGGCCGGGGTTCGATTCCCGGCAGGTGCATGAGATTTTTTATCTACTCCACAGCGTCCAGACCGACAGTAGGGTCTACTATGCCGCCTATCTAATGGGTACCGGGGACATTCTCTCTGGGGTTAAAGCGGCCGGGGCGTGAATCTGACAACTCACCTCCAACTAGTGCCAGGGTCAAGAATGGTGGAGCTATACACCCACTCCCCCATGTCTTCATGGCGTGG